TAGCCACAATTTCAAAGCAGGCAGCAATGTGAGCCAAAGTCATCAGTGGCAAAAAGGAATTCAATAGAATGCATAGAAGATACATTACATGCACTTTTCCTAATCTAGAAACACGCATTCTTCAATTTTATTAGTTCTTTGAGTTTATGCAATGTACCTCCACCCCAACTCTTCTAAGATACAACCCTTCTAAACCCAGTATAATTTGTGATCCCTTTTGTTCTTTAAGATCCATCAAGTAAAGTATGTGCTGCCCATATACATTTGAATATTCTAAGGAAACATGTTAGATCTACCAAGGGTTACACCCTCAAAGAAAACTGACTCTCCTTTCCTAGCATGCTTATTAAAATAGCTTCAAATTTTTTCACACCTACTTCTAATTCTCTTGCTTAGATTCTCTCTGACTTGATATCATGTAAATATTATGTTATCCATTATAATCACAGTAAATTTATATGGAAAGTTGCCCTATTGTGTTCAGAAAACACTTTCCTAGTAGTTGTATAAACCTCTGGATCTTAAAATATTTCTACACCCTCTTCAACAATGATCCCTAAGCATTTGAAGAAGATTGGACATGAGTTTAGTAAAGAACATTCTAGTCTCTTTTTAAAAATGTATTTATTTAATTTAGAGACAATCATAATTTACATATCAATCCCATGCCCTTCTCCTTCCCATCCTCCAATGCGCCCCTACCTATCCCCCTATCCCACAGCCATGGAGGATGAGGTCTTCTATGGGGGATCAACAAGTCTGTCACATCATTTAGGGTAGGGCCTAGGCCCTCCTCCCTGTGTCTTGGCTGATAGTGTATACCTCCATGGAGAATGGGTTCCCAAAGTCCATTTGTACACTAGGGATAAATACCGGTTCTACTCTCCGAAGTCCCATAGACTGAACAGGCCTCCGAACTGGTGCCCAAATTCAAAGGGCTTGGTTCAGTCCAATGCTAGCTTTAAGGCTAGGGTTCATGAGTTCTCACTTACTCAGGTCAGCTGTTTTGGTGGGTTTCTCCAGCACAGTCTTGAACGCTTTGCTCATCCCTTCTCCCTATCTACAACTGGATTCCAGAAGGTTGGCTCAGTGCATAGCTGTGGGTGTTTGCTTCTGCTTCCATAAGCTACTGGATGAAGGCTATAGGCTAGGGGAAGAGCATTCAAGGTAGCCTCTCCACTATTGCTTAGACATCCTTGTGGATTTCTGGAAATTTCTTGGTGCCAGATTTCTCTTTAAACCTACAATGGCTCCCTCTATTAATGTATCTCTTTACTTGCACTCCTGTATTTATCTATTTATCCCCCAACACAATCTTCCTGTTCCCTCATGTTCTCTTCCCTCGCCTCTTCTCCCCTCCTATTTTTCCTTGAACCCCACAATGATCCCATTTTCTCATGAGCTCTTGTCACTTTCTGCTTTTCTGGGGAACCATGTATGTCTCTCTTATGATCCTCCTTGCTTTCCACCTTCTCTGGAGGTATTGATTGTAGGATGGGTATCCTTTTCTCTATGTCTAATATCCATATTTGAGTGGGTACATACCATGCCTGTCTTTCTGTGACTGGGTTACCTAACTCATTCCACAGTCTCTAATTCTCTCCACTTTGAGCAGCTGTAGGTATATATGTTAATCAAGGGTTGAATGTTTTTGAATAACTGAAGACAGAGTTTTTAAAAATGTAATAATTTTATCTGTTCTGAATAGGGAGGACACAAATATTATGAATCCTCTAAATGGACTTTGGATTTGATTTTTTAATTGGTCCTAAGAGCACAATCTGTAGATGTACAAGCTTTCATTAAATAATCACAGTTCTCAAATAAATAATCTAAAATATCCTTCAATATATTAGAACAATAAGAAAAACACAGAAGAAATAAAAATCAGAGCAAAAATTAATGGAAAGTAATCTATAAGTATACAAAGAATCAATTACATGGAGTTCATCCCTTGAAAATTAAATACATTTGCAGAAAGAGAAAGAATGATTGAGAAAAATACATTTCTGTGATGAATATCAATGCAAAAATTATTGAAGTACTTTTGAACTGAATACTTACTTTTAGCCTAGTTGAACTTCTTGGGGATGTATTAGCAACTTGCCACATTGTTGCAACAAAATACCTGACAAAAGTGATTTACAAAAACTAATTAAGACTTACAGTTCCAGGATTTATGCTCATTATGAAAAAAGAGATGTTGCTGTACCCATTGAATCCATCTACTGTCAATAACCAGAGAGCAAATGCTCATTCTAATTTTTTTATTCAGTGCTAAATAATAGATTATGGAATTTATCTGTGTACATTTAAGTTTGGTTTTTATTACTTAATCCAACTAATCTAGATAAGCCCTCACACACATGCCCAGAGATTCAACTCCTTCATGACTCTAAATAACATCAAGTTCATAATGAAGTGGACACACATTTTGCATACTTTTTCAGGTTGATAGTTAACACACAGTAGCCTCTCGGGTACTCTGAAACATCTGCAATTGAAAATTTACAGGAGTGATGTAAAGACTGTAGTGAGATCCACCCAGCAGCACCTGTGGCACTGACCACGCCTATTTGGGCGTGGTCACAGGTGTGTAGGAGAGCATGTGGTATATGGCCTGGGGTCCTAGACAGGCTTTCTCTCTCTCTTGGTTCCAGTCAGGTCACAGAGAGCAGACTGGGTGTTGATCCTTGGAGTAGGAACATGCAGGTCATTGGTTTTCTGTATGACTTATTCCAAAATAAAATATATGATGTATATTTTATCCTTGTCCAGTGTATCTTAATCTGTACATCATCGTAAGACTCTGTGACAGTTCAGATAAACTTACCTTTCTTTTATGCCTAAAAATGTATGGCATGGATGATGCAGTCAAGTCCTAATTCTAACTCTGAATGGGTTTAATTACTTTCTCACTTAGTAAATGCTTCCCAGTTATTTGATTTTTATAGACTGGAAGGCCTTTAGCTTTGTTCTCAAATTAAACTCTCTTTTGTCAAATTAATTTACATTTTCAGAAGACTAAATCTTTCATGGGGTCTTCCCCCAGGAGACCATTCCTTTTTTTTAATTTATTATTTTTTTTCTTATCTTACATATTAATCTCAGTTCCCTCTCCATCCCATGCCCCTAGACGCCCCCCTCCCATCCCATTCCACACTCACTCCACAGAGAGTTTGATTCCAGGAGGGATCATCAATACCTGTTATTTGCAGTAGGGTCTAGGCTCTCCCTCCTGTCTTCAGGCTAAGGGAGGATCCCTCCATGGGGAATCTGCACCCAAAGTCCTTTTGTGCACCAGGGACACATCCTGGTTCCACTGTCAGAGGTCCCTTAGACTGCCCAGGCCTTCTAATTGAGACCTATGTCCAGGGGGTCCGAGTTGGTCCAATGCTAGATTCCCAGCTATCAGTCTGGGGGCCCATTAGCTCCTCCTTGTTCAGGTCAGCTGTCTCTGTGGGTTTCTGTAGCCTAGTCCTGTCCTCCCTCTCTGCAGTTCCAGTTTGTGAGTGTCTGCTTCTGTTTTCATCAGTTTCTAGATGAGAGCTCTATGATGGTGAACAAGTTGGTCATCAATCTCATTATCAGGGAAGGGCATTTATGGTAGCCTTTCCACTATTGCTGAAATTGTTAGTTGGTTTCAGTCTTGTAGGTCTCTGGACATTTCTCTAGAGTCAGTTTTCTCTTCAAACCTATAATGGCTCCCTCTTTTATGGTATCTCTCTCTCTTTTTCTCTCATCTATTCTCCCCTGACTCAATCTTCCTAGTCCCACATGCTTTACTCTCCTCCTCTTCTCTTTTTCCTATTTCTCTCTCCACTCACTGCCCCCCCACTCCCAATATGCTTAGGAGATCTTGTTCCTTTCCCCTTTTGTGAGGGACCTTGTATGACTCTCTTAGAATCCTCCTTGTATCCTAGTTTCTCTGGTAGTGTGAATTATAGGCTGGTGATTCTTTGCTGTATGTCTAAAATCCATATGTGAATGAGTTCATACCGTGTTTCTCTTTTTGTGACTGGGTTACCTCATTAGGATGGTTTCTTCAAGTTCCATCCATTTGCCTGTGAATTTCAAGATTCCATTGTTTGTTTTTCCAGAGTAGTATTCCATTGTGTAAATGTGCCACATCTTCTTTATCCATTCCTCAGTTGAGGGGCATGTTGCTTCCAGGTTCTTGTTATTACAAATAATGCTGCTACGAACATACTTGACTAATTCTTCATTAAAGATTCCTAACTCTACATGTGATTTACACCAAAGTTTATAATCATAGCCATATTTATGGTATTTGTTACCAAGTTTGTGACTTATTCATCCCTGACTCAGCTTTCCTTTCATATCTTTCTTGCATTGATTTTCCATTGATGACTTTTTATTGCTTTGATTTTTAAGGAATTCAGTACTGTTTTTGACTGATAAAATTTGATCTACTTATTCTATATTTCAAGTGCTGAGAATTACTGATGATACCAAACTCCCTAGTTTTCTAAGCTTTTCATGGAATGGAAAATATTTAGTAAAGTTTTGAAGAAGGGTTTGATAAATTGATGAAACTTTATTAAGTATTCTTTGGTCAATTTTCCTTTTGCCATTAAAGATTACTCAATTGCACAATACAAAATAGATCCACAATAATCAGTGATTACATTAACAGACAAGCATCTCCAACACTAGTTAACATCTGCTATACTGTATACCTTGTGATTTCATCTCTAACACTGTCTAGAATATACATAACTCAAGGGGCATTCCATGGATGTGAGTGGGAGGTTCTTAGTGTCAGCCTGTAAGACTGCAGCAAAATGGCATGATCATGAGTAGTGTTGGGCCGATGATAGCACTCTTGAGGTAACTGTCCTTTTACCTTTCACAAAGTGTTTTTGATAACTATGAAAAATCAAGAGGTGGAAAAACTATCAATAATTCCCAGGGCTGATACATATAGGACATTGTATAACTAATGATGGCTACAGTATTTTAATCGTTTGTAATTGCAGGTTCAGGTGCTTCGGAATGCTGGGGAAGAAGTGACCCTGACAGTGTCCTTTTTAAAAAGAGCACCTGCTTTCCTCAAACTCCCGCTGAATGAAGACTGTGCATGTAAGCATTTGTAAAATGAAAAGAATAATCACAACATTGCATTTCCTCTCCATCCCTTATTTATTTCCAACAAGTAGTTGGCATTTTTTTTTATTATGGTACAATATAATATGCTGATACATGCACATATCATGCAGTCACCAAATCATGTGGAATTAGCATTTCTTGCAAGTCAAAAATTTGTAGTTCATTTTATGTTGAAAACATTTAAACATTTCCTTTTAGTTATTATGAAATATTCCACCTAACTCAGCAGTGTTTGTGGTTCAAAGCTGATCTTTGGTTGTCGCAGTTCAGGTTAATGGTGTTATCAGAGTCCTGGTGAAATTGTTGTGGGGTTCCATCTTACTTTGTTTTGTTTTGTTTTGATTTGTTTTTTTGAGACAGATTTTCACTGCTTTAACAATCCTCGCTGTCCTGAAATTCACTTTGTAGATCAGGCATGAGTGAAATAGTTGAGATCTACATGCATTTACCTCCCAAAGTGGTAGTATTAAAAGTGTGTAATTGGATTCACTCTCTTTTTTTTGGAAACTTCAGAGATAACATTAGGTCAGATTATTTCTCTTCTTGGCAATTTTTTTTCTGGGTACTTCTCCATTCTTCTTTGGATGCTTATTTGTCCAAAGGTTTTAAATACCCCAAGAAAGTTATTTTTATTTTCATAGAAAGAAAAAAACTCATTCCTAAATTTGTGGAGGTTCATATTCTAATCTGCATCTATTTTAATCTATGATTTCTCCTGAGTATTTTATTTGAGCTTTTAAAGCTCTTCTTTCATCCCAGAACAATATGTTTTCTTTCAATTAGCATAATTGTTCTGGGAAGGATTATCGTCCACAGTAGCAGTAAATGAATGAACCAGTTTTGGCATAGGGCCTTTCAAGTGGTCCTTTAAGGCTTTTCATGCCAATACAATGGTACTTAGATACTTTTATTTTCTGTTCCATATCAGGTGGATCTTCTGACATAAGGCAGAGATGTTTTATTTTTCTTTAACAAGCATGTCTGGATTTAGAGAAGGAGGGAGCCACACTCCAAATCCAAAGCCAGCTTTAATCTTTAATTAGACTGGGACTAAAAACAACATTTGCATTATGTCTGTAGAGAAAAGCAGAGACAAACATTTGGGGAGATTTATGAAATTTTATTGGAAGTATAATATACCAATAGACCGATTTACTCCTTTTCTTGGGACAATTTTTTTTCTTAATTATTTGACCCTTTTCTTCAGGTGTATCATTCCCCCCGCCCCAGTGGTCTCCTGATTTTTTAGATAGATACCATTATTATCCTGAAAAGACAAAAATAAAACCCTTCTCCAACCCTAACATTTTGGGGATGTTCTCCTTTGGCATGTTATATCAAATGAAATCCATTTGTCACTTTTATAAGTTAGTTTTAAAGTAAACAGACAGCTGCTTGATAATTTATCATCTCTTCTAATTAAGTGGTGTCTGGTTTAAACTGAATGTTTCTCAATTTTGATGGTATCCATATCTTTTCTTCACCTGTGGAAACAAAAGCAAAACCTCTTTCCCAATTTAACACATAGCCTGACTTCCCTTAGAAGGTAAAGACACCTTTAAAGTGTATTGGCTGATATAATTCTGTAGTTATTTTTGTTATGATTATTCACTGTCTCTTTGCAGCTGTTGCTCCTTTCTCATTAGCATTCAGAAAAGTTAATTTAGTACTATGCAATCTAATTTGGGGTTCTTTATTAGCTATTTCTGTTTATTTAGCATATCTTTTAAAGTTTGATTAGATCTTTCAAGAACAGCCTGCTCTATATGATTGTGTGGTACACCTGTAATATGCTTTATATTATAATAAGCAAAACACCTGTGTTTTCTTAGAGACATATGCTGAAATACTGTCTGTCTTTATTTATGCAGGTATAGACATAATGGCCATGACTTCTAGCAAACGTGTAATAACCAAATCAGCCCAAAGCAGTTTCTGAACCCAAAGCAGTTGACCAATGAAAAAAATGAATAGCTATCAATGGTGTGGTGTATATATTTTAATTTTCCAAATTCTACAAAATGGGACACATCCATCTGCCAGATTCCATTTCTTTGAGTAATCTTTGATAAATTCCTGCCAGTAGTAGAGTTTGGTTGTATAAAGAGGAAGTATGTTTTTTATAATCTCATTAGCTTCTTGCCATGTGAGGAAATACCATTTTTTCAAACTTTGCTATTGACATGGTGACTTTTAAATGAAATTCTGATGTCTTTAGCACATTTACTATCAATAGTTGACCAATTTCATGATTACCTAGTGCTAGAGGGGCTGGAAGACTTGAATGGGATCAGGTGTGTGTTATATATATGGAATGATTCCTCTTCCTTACTAGGTCATGTAACTAGTAGATAATGAAGTCAATTCTGTATCACCTGGTTTAAATTCAGTGGTTTCAATTTGTAAAACAGCTCTTTCTGCAAATTGTGAATCAGTAGCTATGTTGAGAGTTTCTTTATGATCTATTAACACCATGAGAATAGCATATAATTCTGACTTCTAGAGAGAATTGTAAGGACTTAGATGTATTTTACTTAACTATTCTGATTCATAACCTACCTTCCTGATTTATTTGCAACCGTTTAGAATGTAGGGGCTCCATTTATTGGTGTTTTCAAACAATTTGAGGAAGTATCCAGTTCATTTTCTTTATAAGTTTAATTCTCTTGCTTTTGGGATAATGGTTGTTACACTCTGTTAAAAAATTACTACAAGCTCATCACCAGGGTTCACTGCTGTTTACCAATAATTTGTCAATTCCATTAGTAAAAGCTACTATAGTGTCTGCTGGATCTATTGCTGCTAATTGATAAAGTCTCAATTTTATAGATGTTTTCTACAAAACGTTTTACTTGGTTTATGTGGTAAAAATATCCATTCTATGTTATATTTCCCTCTGCATTAAAATTCCTGTAGGGGAATACTTAGAGGATAGTATAACCAGAAAGCAGTTAAGTTTGGATTTGTATGATCCACATATGCAATCTGTAACTCATCTTCCTCTAATGCCAGTTCCTCTAATGCCAGTCCTTGGAACTATGTAAGCTCTTGTCACCATCTAATATTTTGTGTAAATTGATCAGTTAATCAGGTTCTATTTAACAATGTGCCATAGATGGGCTATGTCTCCTAGCAATCTTTGAAAATCTTTAAAAGTCTTCAATTCATCTCTCCTGATCTTCACATTTTGGGGGTCTAACTATTACAAACCTATTCTATAACTTAAATAATTAACAGAATCTCCTCTTTGTTTTTTATTGAGGAGCAATTCGTAATCCCCAAGACGGCAAAATTTTCTTTACTTCCTTAAACATTTTTCTAAATTATTTACATTTGAATCAGATAATAAAATGACATTAGTGTTATGGTAAATTATACATTGAGGAAATTACTTATGCATGATTTCCAAGGGCTGCATTACAAATTATTGGCACAGGTGGGCATCCTGTGGGAGGACCTTCCATGGATATCTTAAGATAGGCTGAGCATTAGTATGGGTAGGCACAGTGAATGGAAATTTTTATCAGTCCTTTTCTTGTAATGGTATACTAAAGAAACAATATTTTAAATCAATAAATAATTGAGCCCATCCTTTAGGCAATAGAGGAGGCAAAGGAATTCCAGACTGTAAAGAGTCCATTGGATGTATCACCTTATCAATAGCTCTTAAATCTATTACCATTCTCCATTTTCCTGATTTATTTTTAATAACAAATACAGGAGTATCTCAAGAGCTGATTGGTTCCTCAATGTGCTGAGCATTTAGTTGCTCCTGTACCAGCTCTTCCAAAATCTGCAGTTTTTCTGTTGCACAACCCATACACGTTTGTCTGTCAGATATTATAAATGTTAGGCTGTTGGTGTTTGTGGAAGAATGGTAGCTGTTGTGTCATGTTCCAATATACCTGAATAGTTGGTGATTGTTCTGTATAGCTACTTATAAGTTTTCCAGAACCATAAGATAATCTATGCTTGGCTTCTAATTTGGGGGGAATGTTTATCTGAATATTCCATTACTGTAATAAATCATGTCCCCACAAATTAAATATGGCTTTAATAATATTCTCTGTCCTTCTGGTCCTATACATATGACCCATTTCTCTTTCTCTTTTACCTGAGAAAAAATTCCAATTCCTAAGAAGGTATCTTAGATTCCAAGATTCTTGTGATATAATTATTATGTCCTCACCAGTTTCTACTAAGCCTTCAATGAAAGCGTCATTCATTACTACCTTTAAGTTTGCTCTTTGCTTATTTATGGACATTTGCCAATAGACTCACTTGTGAGTTTTTCTGACTGTTTTGTTCTGTCTTTTGATCTTGGGAGATATTTGTAATTCTAGGTTTAGATTTTTTGTTCAATATTCTTAGCCTCTTCTCTGAACCTAGACATCCATTATAATTGTGGTCCAGGCTCTTGAACAGCTTTAATCATATTTATCTAATGTACTAAACTAATCCTATAACAAACAGCTATGTTTATCACCTGTTTCACAAATGGTGAATGGATGTCATATGAGAGTACAGCGTCCTTGAAATTCCCTAAATCTAACATTGACATGGGCTTGCAAATAGATCTTATAGAGAATCTCCTTCATTTGGCACTTGTGTGGTAAAGTTATTGGATAGATTTTTAATTACTTTATATTTAAAGGAAAAACAACCTTATTTTACACACCAATCCTAGTTCCCTCTTCTTACTGTTCTCTTATTCCCTGCCTTATCTCCCCATCCACCACCCCCATCCACCCTTCTGGGATGTTGAGGCCTCCCATAGTGGATCATCTAAGGCTGTCACATCATTTGGGGCAGGACTGAGGCCCTCCCCTAGTATTTAAACTGAGAGAGAATCTCTCCTTAGGGAATGAGCTCCAAAATCTTGTTCATGCAAAGGGATGGATACTGGGTGCACTGCCAACAGCCCCACTGTAGTGGGATATTCACTTAGTCTCCTTCTGTGGCATTGACCACGC